ATNTTTTTTTAGAAAACGAGTTATTTTAGTATTAGTTTAAATTTAGATTCAACATGCTTANTAGATATATGCATCTTGCTATATAGTCATCCTTATAAGTTTCATTAGATTATTATNATCNATCGATCANAATNTTAAAGGCTAAAAATATGTTAATTGAGTTATAATATAGTGATGGTGATTTCATATCTCTTTATACACAATTAAANATATNAAAACAGAGAAAAAGAGGTATTAGAAGAGCTATGATAAGATTCGTGAGAANTTCTTGAAATCAAATTCAGTAAAATAAAAATGAGACATTCAAAATCATAAAACCAACAAAAGAAGAATTTTTTTTTTTAATTACCATTAATTCAAACTAAACAGTAACCAATAAATAAACATAAAGTAAACAAATGAAAATTAATATGCTTTAAGAAGACCAAAATTTTCGTCAAATTGAGAAAATCATAGCTAGGTCACCTTCTCAATATTGCTAAAATCATGTGTCTCTTTTTTTTTTTAATTAACATCCACTAAGTTAAAATCATGTGATTAGTTTTTGATTATTAAAAATAATTTATAGGTCTGATTTATTTAGGATATATTTGTAAATTCCAATATAAATAAAGTTAGTTTTCAAAATTTTCAAAACATAGGTTACTTTTCAAAATACATAAAATTATTAGAATATTTTTACAAATTTCCTCAAAAAAATATGAGTTTATGTATTGTTTTTTATAAATCTACAAACTTCGTCTGTTTATAGAAATAATTATATACTCGGGTGATTTTTTTTTTAATGGAATTTTCCATTTTAAGTAAATTTCCCTGTACTCAATTTTCAAATAAAAATAGAGCAATTCAATATTTGTGGAAAAGCAGGTAAATATTTTATTCATCACCGTGATAGAAAAAAAAAAGATACTAAATTCATTACTTACATATGCGTGACCATCAAGGTAGGGGAATAAGGAAGATTTTAGAAACAAATATCATAGACATTTCTATAGATACGTTTCTTTCATTTTTGGTAACTATATATGTTATGGAGAGTTGCTAGTGATATATATACATGCTAGTAATTGCTTAAACCCTCTTGTTTTAGTTAAAACCTAGCTAGTAGTATCGAGTATCAACTGTTCAACATGTTGTTCCGCTCTGTCCGTACCGTTCTTGTTCCTCGAGTCCTTCTTCTTCATTGTAATAATACTATTACTGCTCCCAAGACCGTGATTTTCGGTTGTGTTAAATCATCCAACTTGCGCTATTTCTCTAATACTACTGCTGCTCCCAAGACCGTGATTTTCGACTGTGTTAAATCATCCAACGTGCGCTATTTCTCTTCTGGTGACAAGCCAGCACCCAAACCATCAGATGTTGAGGAAAAAAACATAAGCTCGGTGGTGAAGAACTTATCCTTGTTTAGCAACTTTGAACAATGGAAGAATAAGTTTCTTCAACAAGGAGAAAAAGAATATTGCACTGTGGATGCAGTTGAAAATACTAGTCCTGTTGAAAACACAAGTCCTCCTTCTGCTATTGATTTGGCTCTTAACTCGGTCGTTAAGGTCTTCACCGTCTCTAGCAAGCCTAGACTTTTTCAACCTTGGCAGATTAGTATGCAAAATGAATGCTCTGGCTCTGGTATTGATAATTTCTTTCATTTATTGTATAAACACATATTGTATATGTTAAATTTTTGGCTTAGAAGAATGTGGTACAAACGGTGAAATTATAAATAAGCTAGTAGAAGATGTTTCTAATTTGGCTAACATATTTATACTAAAATTGTTGAAGGATTTGTAATCTCGGGAAAGAATATTATAACGAATGCTCATGTGGTGGCTAATCATACATCCGTTAAAGTAAGAAAGCATGGTTCAACCACAAAGTACAAAGCAAAAGTTCGAGCGATTGGGCATGAATGTGATTTGGCCATCTTAGAGATCGATAGCGATGAGTTTTGGGAGGGTATGAACTTCTTGGAGCTTGGAGACATACCCTCGCTTCAGGATGCTGTGGCCGTTGTTGGCTATCCTTGCGGTATTTATCTCATGACATCAATGCTTTTCAGATTATCGTATGGAATTTTGATATTCTCATATATAGAGGTATATATAGAGGCAAGAAAGTTTTGCATGCATGTTTATGATTTTAATTCTCATATACACAAACCAATTACTTGTTAAATTTGAAGAGTTTATTATTTCTTTTTTTTGGTCAACAAGAGTTTCTTATATATGTTTTCATATTTACATAAAACATTATTTTATTTAGAAATCCATATCCATATACTTTGAAAATATAAATGATCTTGAAAATTAAAGTAATTACGATCTTCCATTACGTAGAAATTATTGCCAAATTTGAGAATATGTGAATATGTG